AAGCCCGGGGATAAAGGTAGTTTGTTTCCTCTCAGCCCGTCTGTCAACACCTCCTCAGTAATTAGCCCTAATTATTACCAAGGGCCAGCCTCCCATTCGGTTATTAAATCAGAAATAGTATCGTGGCCGGGCATCTGTCAACACCCGGCTGGTGACCTTGGATTCATTGAATCCTCTGTCAGTATCTGTGGCTTCAAAGATGCAGATCCCGGGGAGGAGCTCCAGGGATGCAGTGCGTCCAGCCTGCCTAGGAGGGGGAGGACGGGGCATACGCTGCAGGCCTCGGAGCCCAGCGGGCAGGTGGGCGCTGTCCTGCACCTGCCTCCCCAGGGCAGCAAGTGCACACGGCCATCCCACCTCCCCAGAGACGGACGGAACTGTGCGTGTCGGGAGGGCGATAAGGCCACCTCCAAAGGCCCAGTGGTGTCACAGCAGCCACATGGCGGGCCTCCATCTTGACTGACAGCTCAGCAAGGCCCCGTGCTGGCTGTCTGGTGGGTGCCCGGGAGGCACCTGAGCCTGGCTGACAGGAACCCTCTGAGCCTCTCGCACAGCCGAGGCAGCCCTCGGGCAAAGCCTCTCCCAGACCAGTGAGCCCCCCCAAGCAGAACTCAGGGCAGCTGTGGACCCGGGTTTCAGCACTGGAGCTGCAGCCCTGAGGCCCTGGGGAACGATGGCCGCCCACCTCTGCCCTTGGCCTAAAGCCTCCCCTGCAGCCCAGAGAAGCCATCACTTGCTTTGTGAAGCAGACCCTTTCTGCTCCCAGACACTCAGCCACACCCGGCTTCTCGATGGAAGCTGCACCCTGAGCAGGATTCACTGCCTTGGGCAGCGACGGGCACTGACCACCTCCCTGGGGCAGAGTCCCTGCACCTGGTGGCTGGCTGCCAGTGCTTCCTGGGCGGCCCACTGTGAAGCCCCTCAGCTGCAGTGAGTGCCCCGCACAGTGCCTGCACGGCCGCCCCAGGTCTCTTAGCTCCCCTTCCAGGCAGGCCCCACCTGTTTAGGAGAAGGGGCAGCAGAGGCCGCGCCCAGGACCCAGATCCTCCACTGTGGTCAAGGCCCAGTGGTATGATGGGTGCCCAGCAGAGGCAAGCACCGTCCTTCTGCCAGCGCCCCAAGGACCCTGGTGCACCACGGCCAAGCCCCTGCTGGGTACTCTGCACACGCTCCGAAGCTGGCAGGGCCAGGCCAGGCGGGGGCAGCAGGAGTGAGTCTAGTGGAGACAAAGGTCAGGCGGTGTCTGGTAACCCCACAGCTGGAGCGCATGAGGTGTGAACCACCAGTCCGCCTGAAGCCAGCAGGGCCTTTCAGCTGTGGGAACTGAGGCACAGGTCGCAGGCTCCTCTGGGCTGGTGGACAGGCTGCCCTAGTGGTCGAGAGGAAACATCAGGGGAGGAGCTCAGGGGTCTCTCCATGGACGGGCATCTCAAGCTGCAGCTGAGATGACTGTCACCCCACAAGCAGGTCCAAGGAGCCCAGCAAGATAGCAGGAAAGAAGCCCAAGTCTGGGCAGTTTCTGTCTGCCTGCCCCTGGCACTTAACAGGCAGGGGAGGGAGCCTGGCCAGCAAAGGGCTGTGGGCCTTTTCTGTCCCTGGTGGACACCCGGAAAACCTTGTTAAGTTTCACAGGAAGTGTGACCAGTCCCATGAGCCAATGCCAGCCTCTGGGGCCCACTTCTGCCAGGTCTGGTCCACATTCACAGACATGCAGATAATGCCCCTACAGACGTACCACACACTCACAAAGGGCTGGGCGTTCTGGGCACACATGCATCTGGGGGCACACAGCCACATGTGCACACTTGCACTAACACACACAGGCTTCGTCCCACAGGTATGGACACAGCGGCCGGCAGCACTTGGTGGAAGCCTGGGAAGGGCAGGGCCAGAACAGCGATCACGGCTAAGGGCCTGCTGCCTTCCAGTCACGTTCAAGGCAGAATGGCGACAGTGAATCCTCAAGTTCAGCAACCCGCCAGGGTGGGGGGATGATGAAGCGACCAGGTGGCTGCGGGGGACGCCATGGAGGGCCCTGGGTGGGGAGGAATCACAGGGCACAACTGCTCTGGCTGGGGTTCCCCTCCCGGCCACCACGACCCAAGGCCATTTGCTCTGATTTTCAGGGGAGGAACACAGGGTCTCAGGGAGAGGCCACTGTGCCCCAGACTGGGTTGGGCGCCTGGCCAGCCTCACAGGCTGCCCACTTTTAGAGAACTTGGGCTGCAGTGCAGAAACACCAAGGGGAACAGGGCATGATGGAGACGTGGCGCTCCCGGAGACAGGCAGCAAGCACGCCCACCCGGCAGCATCTGGATGTCAGCACCTGAGTGGCTGAGCGCCGGTCACTCCCAAGTCAGCCTGGGCTCAGGTGGGGAGCAGCCCACGTCACTCCTCTCCACCAGTGGGGAGACAGAAGCACCTGCCAAGGGGAGGGGCACCACCCACCCCAGGCCATAGCCCTAGCTCTGTGCCCCCAGGGCCAGGAGGGAAGAAATGGCTGCCCAGGGCACCTGCAGGCCAGGGGCTCCTCCCAAGCCCACCGTTTCTCCCTAACAGAGACCATGTCACCCATCTAGAGCAGGGCACCCAGCTCCTGATACTGGCAGTCACGTGCCACCTAGAAAAGGGGAGACAGGTCCTCGGTCAGTCAGGAAGGAACAGGTCACGCTGTGAAAACACAAGGCCTGTCTCAGCACCCAATGGCTGGTGTCCTCATGACATTAGGACACACAGGTGTAGAGGATGACTGTGAGGACATGGGGGGATGAGGACCCCGCCAACGCCTCACCCTTGGACTTCCAGCCTCCAGACTGTGGGGCAACACACGTCTGCGGTCTGAGCCGCAGAGCCCCAGCACACACACAGGCCTCGTCCCACGGGTATGGACCCAGGCCTGCCACTCCCACTCGATGGCTGCGCCATCAGGTGTCGGCCCGAGTGGATGCTTCTCCTCCATGCTGAGTGCCCACCCCACGGGGGCATCACACACTCCCATCGCTCTGAATTCGGCTTCCTCCAGCCGCAGAAACGGGAGGGAGCGGCACGCACCCCACATGGCCCCCCAGGCTCTCCCTTGCCTCCATGTCTCTGGAGAGGTGCACCCACCAGGGTTTCTCCAGCCGGGCCCCTGAGCAACTGCCCTGGGTGGAGCACGCAGGCTCACCCCGACCAGTTGGATGGGGTGGCAGCTTTAGTTTCCTCGCTCCTTCCTGCTGGGCCCATGGGCTGCTTGCAGTTCTGCTATTAATGCAGTGACGCCCGCTAGGCAGTCACTAGGGCCCAGGTATCTCACTGAACCATCCCACTGCCAAGAGGACGGAGCATTGCAGACAAACCACCCACAGAGGTCAGGGGACACTGAGGACCCTCAGCCTGAAGTGGAGGTGGCGAGGGGCGACCAAGCCCATCTATGCTCTGAAAACCCCCACTGCAGACGAGCAACAGCCGTCTGCACGTCGGCCAGTAGTCAGCATGTGCACACCTAGAAAGGCTGTGTGTGTGAACTGTCATATCTGATACCCTCACCAACAGTGTGAAAAAGCCTGGTTCTCCATACCTTCGGCAATTCTGCAGAGCTGAGACTTTTAAGGTCCTGGGACCACGGACAGAAAAAAACATTCACACTACTTCCCTGTGGTACTTCTAGGATTTTCTTTTAAATGCTGAAATCTAATCCATCTGGAGTATAGACTGGTATACAGTGAGGTGCATGTCTGGTTTTACTATTTTCCAGATGGCTAAGCAGTTGTTTCAGCTCCTTTTACTGAATTGAATAATCTGCTTTCCACCATTATTTTGAAACAATGCCTTTAGCATGAACTAAATTCCTGTACTCATCTGGCTTTATTTCAAAGTTCTCTATTCTTTGCTCATCCGTTCGCCTGATGTCCAAGCACCTTTGCTACTGCAGCTTTTTAAGACGTTCAGTATGTCATGGGACGTCACCCTCAGTACTTCCGGTGTTGGAATTTTCCTTGGAGACAAGTATTTTAAAAACCTTCCCATAGTGACCACTGTGTCCTGCCTTCAGGAAATAAAATCTCCCGGTATTTCCAAGGGAAGTGAAGGATAGACATGATGGCCTGGGGGCAGGCCCAGCACCTCAGCCTGCTCTGGGGCACACCCTCCTCCCAGTGCTGCCGACCTCCAGCCTGCCTGTGTGGAGCATGACCCAAGAGCCCTCCTCCCACCACGGGGCAGGGCTTCCTCTCTTGGCCCTCTGGGTTCCTTTCCTCCAGCAGAGGGGGAAGCAGCTAGGTCATCTCATCTACTCAAAGGCAGGGCACAGTGCTAGCTGGAGAGGAGCTGTCACTTTGCAACACCATACCCACTGCCTGCGTGAAGGGCAGGCCAGAGCCCTCCCACCCTCCGTTTCCACCCATGTGGGCACCCAGGAATGAGCAGCCCTGCCATCACCACTGAGGCCCTGCTTCATGGCAAGAAGCCAACCACAACAGGATGCATTTCCCAAATTAAGGTCATCTGGTCTCTCCCCAGTCCGTCTGGGCCTGTTCTGGCAGAGCTTGCTCTCAGGAGAGGTAGGCCAGATTACAACCTGAGCCTGCTGGAGCCGTCTGGGGGAAGAAAGGCCACAACGGGACAGGGGTCCCGAAGAGAAGACGACAATCTTGAGTTACAGGGATTCACTTCATGTCCATGAAATGCAAACAGGAAAGGCATCCTGTGCGAAGGCCAGCAACACAGTGGGGGTATCAAAGGTGACCAGGCATCCGTCCTGGAGAGCAGCAACATGTTCTACTGCGAGCCATCCTGCCATCTGAAACAAGTACCCTCCCAATCACCAGTACCAGATCCACAGGCAGGCCAGGCCATAGCTGAGGGGCAGTGTCGGGACAGGGAGCAGCCCAAACTGGGTCTGTAAGAGTGCTGGGACTTGAGCAGTAGCATGAAGGGGCAGCACTTGTGACTGGGGCTGGGCTGGAACACGCAGGGATTTTCCACATTTTCCACATTCGGTCAGAATCAGGATAGCACAGTGATATGTCATCTTGCTTTAATTACATCAGCTTTCCACCTATTTCCAAGATTGGCAGCTCTTTTACTTACAAGGTATCTGTACCTTAAAACAACTCACACATAAAACCATCTGAACCCAGAGCCTTTTTAAGTGAGTTACTAGATAAAATAATCCCATTTATTTTACTTAAAAATTTTTACCAGATGTTTGTTTTAAACTGTTTTTCCTAAAATAGTTTTAGTTGCAGTTCACATTTCTATTTATTTTTTCTTCCTACTTTCTAGGAAAGTATTCTTGTTTTGTTTCCACAACTGTAAAACTGTAGAGGCCTGAAATTCTTGCCCCTCTGAGTGGTGACTGTACCCATCCTGTGTTAAACCTGGATTGAGGGAACTTCTGAGCTCAGCACTCACTATTAGGAACCCCATCCTTGTGCAGAACAGGTCTTTCTTCATTCCAATCCTCTGGCCCCTGGGGCCTTACAGCTCTGCTCTGGCTGCCTTTCACCTCTGGAGGCCCTTGGAAGTCAGTTCTCAAGGTCACACTCCGCTCCCAAGCCTTCTATTCCCACCCATTCAGGCAAACACCTTCTACCAGATCCTCAAAGACCCCACTGAAAACAAGCACACCTGCAGCACTGGCGTGGGGTGCTCGGCTGGGAACCAGACTTTGCTCCTGATGCAGGCAGTGCTCCAGCCAATGAAATAAGGGCTCTCCTTGTTGGCGGCCATCACACTACAGGCTCAGCTGTGGATCCAACATACATTTAATGAGCACCGACTGTGTACCATGGACCTAAAGCAGACCAGGAATGGAGGCCCTGCCCTAGAGGCTCAGGGTCATTTACAGTACTGGGGTTTAGGTGCTGAACCAGCAATGTGCACAAGTGGGTGGGAGGCAGGGACTGAAGAAGAGCAGAAAGCTGGCGGGCAAAGGCACTGAGACACAGGAATTCATGCCGACTTCTGAAGAAAACCAGGTATGACTAGAATGTACACATACAGAATGGGAAAATGCCTGGAGTACAGCCGGGACTGGCTAAGCTTACATCCCAACTCCCCAGATGGCCAGGCTGCTGGCCAACTCCCAGCGAAGGATCCTTCTCTCTCGAGATACCATCCCAGTCGTCCTGAATGATGAAAGTGGCTGTTTCCTTCCGGTAGCCTTCCTTAAATTCCAGACCAGAGGACAGAGGTCACAGGGCACAAGATGGACAAGGGGGCCAAGGCAGGGACACCCTCAGGTACCAGAGCCCAACAGGGCTGACGTGGCACATCAAGTTCAGTCCAACCAGCGATGAAAGGGTATGGTTTTGGGGCTTACAGAGACATACAAATATCTGATGGGGACTGATAGCCCCTTGGCCATGGGGGCAATTGGACGATGAGGGGCACAGGGAAGAGGCCAATAATGTCCTGCTGTGACTACAGGGAAGGGGACAAGAGGGCTACTTGTGCACAGATGGGGTGGAGCTCAAACAAGCACCCCTCCTGTCCAGCACTGGGGCAAGTGCACAGGGCAATACCTGGCATGCTCTGCCCACAGTCACGCAGCAATGCCACTCGGTCCTGGCAGGGGGCTGTGGGGCTCCCTGGCTAGGCAGGCTCCTTCATGCAGAGACACTGCCGCCTCTGCCTGGGCTGTGCTCAGAATCCAGGGCTGTGGGGTGGGGAGTGGGAGATGGTGGCTCTCCTGGGGCTTCCAGGGCGTTTGCTGCCCTGCCAACTACCTAGGGATGCCGCCGGTCTCCCTCCGTCTCAAAACCTTCCTCCTTTGTCTTCTGGGGCTCTGGATGCCCCTGGACGAGCTGGATCTTTCTGGGCAGGGGTCCAGCAGACTGTGAAAGTAGAGACAGATTTGGGGTCCTTCTCCTTGCTTGGAGGAGGCAGGCCCCACCGGACCAGAAGCAGCGCTACACGCAGGCGTGGACAAGGCCGTGGGCCCCGTGACGCTCTCTGTGGCCAGCCGCTGCTCAGGCAGCTGGGGCCGGGAAGAGCAGGAACGGCCGGGGCAGCTGGCGCAGGCCTGGGATGTCCCCATGTCGAGTGCCAGGGCCCCAGGAACCCAGCTAAGTACTGTCTTGCCACAGGCAGCTGCAGGGCCACTGGTGGCTGGCTGGAGGCTGGGCAAAGGAGCGGGGCACTGCGCATGGTTCTCAGCATAACTGCTCAGGTCTTGACTAGCTTCCTCAAGATCCTGGCCAAAGAGCTCATAATCGTCAGACGCAGTGCTCCAAGGTGCCTGTCAAGGTCGGGGGCCGCCCACACCTGGGCTTGACCCATCAGGCACCCAAGGATCTCGCAGATGTGGCCGAGGTTGTCCTGGCAGTGCTCAAAGTGCAAGTACATGTAGTAAGTGGGCCAAAAAGCAGTCCAGTATCCATGGGGAGCCATTGAAGGTGCCCGGGTCCAAGCCTGGTGCCCAGTGGTTATCACCCTGAGGGGCTGTGGGCCAGAAAGGCACACAGCCATTGGCCCCCTTTCTGTGGGCTTACTGCCGGAAGCGCCGCTCACCCTGCTCTTCTGCTCCATGGTCATACGCGTACACACAGGGCCGCCACAGCAGGGCTGCTCAATCCAGTGGTCTGCTACGGCGGGCATAGGTGACCTCAGGAGAGGCCCAGTCCATCTGGTGCCAAGTGTGTGTGTTGGCGTAACTCGCTGCTGCCTGCACGGGATTGTGAGGGCCCTGCTGAAGGCGTTGGCCACGAGGCATGCTGGGAGCGGAGCGGAGCTGCCACACCCACTACAAGCAAGAGGGGAGAAAGAGCCGGCGCAGAGGCAAGGGTGGACCGAGGCAGCACAGAGGACACAGCAGGACAGAGATGGGCCACAGAGGGGTGCGGCAAACCCGGGCGGTCCAGGCAAGTGCTGACGGTCAGGAGAGCTGACCACTGCGGCCTCAGGAGAGCTGGGAGGAGCTGTGGGGCTGCTGGACGCAGGCCACCATCCGAGGCGATCTGTCCAAAAACAAGGCGGAGAAGAGCGGAAACCAGGCTCGACCATCGCCACTGCGCAGCGGGAGGCAGCAAGCAGACAAGCCCCAGTGCCCGGCTAGGAGCTCTGAGTCGGAGGGCCCAGGAGTCGGGCCTGGGAGGTGAGAAGGAGGGCAAGGCAGATGCCGCCTGGGATGTCTCCAAGGCGGGGTGTGATGGTGGACGCCGTCAGCCCCACAAGGACAGGGGTGGGTCCAGACTGGAGCCCCCTAGGCTTCCCTCTACAGCCTGGCTGCCTGCCAGGATGGCAGTGACCTTTCACTGAAGGTTCCATCCATGCCAAACACTGACCTCCTGATGTGGGTAGTGCTTATCATCCCTGAGAAAGACGGTGAGCGAAGGCCCTTGTCTGCAGCCACACATCAACCAGCAAGGGGCGGAGGCAGCCGAACCCAGCAACAGAGAGCACACGCTTGACCACCACAGATCGCCATGCCGGCTCCAAACTACCCTTCAGGGCCCACTGAGGGGTTCCTGGCCACCCAAGCACTGCAACTGTTAGGTATGCAAACCATGTCGGAGGATCCTTCCACATCACAGTTCTAGAAGCATGGTAGAAGCTACCTGCATACCCAACAGAAGCCTGGAGCCCCACTATTCTGTGCTCCCCAACCTGCCCCAGATGCTTCACAGACTCACCTCACCACTGAGAGCACAGCCTGCAGGCCATGCCATTGCCATACCCACCCAAACACCACCTCCCTGCATCCTCATCCCTGTCAAGAGCCCAGCATCTCAGCCCCAAAATTTAACACGTTCTGTGTCTTCTCTCACAACCCCGCAGTCCTGCAAAGAAGACCTCCAGAGCAGCAGTCACCAACCCTGAGCAGCCCCAAAAGCCCTGAAAGCCCTGAGGCGGGAAAGGAGGCTACACCCACCAGCAGGCACAGTTCCCTTCCAGGGCAAGGAACCCTTCCTGGGGCTCTCACACTGCCCAGCCCAAAGGTGGCCACTTTCTCAGTCTCCCTGCAAAGGGAGGTCCACTTGTGGCCTCTGTGGGACACTTTCTGCTTCAGCCTCCTTGTGCCACCTCCCCAGCTCCCTCCACACATCCCAGTGCTCCCCCAGGCTCACACGTGGGGCACCACCCCCTGCACACACTTCCTGCAGTTTCCTGGGGTCATCTGCTGTCCCTCAGGGTGAGTTCCTCCCTCAAGGCACAGCTCTGTTGGTATTTCCTCCCAGCACCTCCAGGATAGCCCGCAGCCCTTGAGGCCAAGGACGCCAGCACCTACCCACACCACCCAAGCGTTCTGGAACCTCTCAGGTACGTCCCCCATCCCCTACTCAGGGAGGCCTCCACATGAAAGCCCTTCGCATCCTAATGCAAGACAAGAGTTCTCTGGGACCTGCTGGCCACACTGGCCCAAGAGGCAGTGCGTGAACGCAGTGCGCTCCTGACTCCAGTCCAATCTCTCACCCAGCTCTGAAAAACCAATAAACCATGAACTCCACTCCAGTTCCTACCACCAAACCGATGTCAAGTGCCAGGCTGCCCGGAGAGACTCTATCCTGTGCCCAGAAGCCCCTGCTTCCTCCCAGTCCCAACCTCCCACCCCTAGCAAGGACCCTAGCTGTCACCTCGCCGCCCATCAGAATGCCCGTGTGCCCCTGGGGCCCCGGGGAGGCCGCTGTCCTGCGTCACCCGGCCAGCCCAGCTTGGGCCTGAACTGCGTCTCTCACCACTTTTGAGAACTTCGGCCCGCCCACGCCGACCCCTCAGCTGACCCCTCTCCGCCTCTCCCCCCATTCTGCCCGGCCCTGGGGGTTCGGGCCCTTCTCCGGGGCTGGACAGCGCTCTCCCCGAGGAGCGGGCACCGTGGCGCATGCGCGTTTGCCTCCGCAAAGTCAAGGGCCGCCGCCGGGACGTGGGAGAGCCGGGGGCCCCGGGAGCGCAGCAACTTGCTCGAAGCGTCACAGTAAGTGGAAGGAAGACCACGGCAGCCCCCTCCCGCAACCGCCATGCAGGAAACCGCGGGGATGTGCGCACAAAGCCCTGCCGCCATCGAGTCCGACCTACCTGCGGCTGCGCGAGGATCGGCGAGCGGCGCCCGCGGATCTGCGATCAGAGACGGTGCGGCCGCGTCTCCCTCCCAGAGCGAGAGTCCCAGGTGTCACCTGGAAAGTGGAGAGAACGGCCGCCGTGAGGGTGGGCGCGGCGCGACCCCCGGAGACGGCGCGAACCGCCTGAAAACGACTCCAGGTGCCCCCAGCCGCCGGCGCGGACCGAGAAACCGAGGCGCTGCGGCCGGTAGGGCAGGGGACGCAGGCCGCGGCTGCGGGCGCCTCTCCGCAGACGGGGGGTTGGGAAGGGACGGAGGGGCGG